TAACCAAAATGTTGCTGGTTGAAACCCACCATCTGCCCCAAGGGAGAAAGATGAGGCAGCCTGGTCTGTGAAGACTGACAGCCTTGGAGACCCGTGAGCGGTTTCACTCTGTCCACTATGGGTGCTGTGAGTTGGAATTGACTTGACAGTAGTTGGGTTTTTAGTTTTAGGGTCTGGGGGGAAGTGGAAAGTGACTGTGATGTATGGGTTTGGGGTTTCTTCTGGGTGTGAAGAGAATGTTCTAGACTCAGGACTGAAGGGGCCGCATGACTCTGAGCAGACTAGAAACCACTGACTTGGACACTTTACGTGGGCAAATCAATCACATGGCGTGTGAATTACCTCTCAGTTAAAAAACCTCCCATCAGTTACCCAGAGCGAGCGTGGCCAAGGCGACGTGGACGCCAGGCACCAGCGGCTCTGCCAGGTTCAGGCAGCACAGGAGGCGCGGGCTCCCGGCAGCCCTCCTCTGGCTCCTCCCAGCCTGCCCCCAGCCAGGCGCGTGCGCTGCCAAGCAGCAGCCCCTGAACCGTGCTTTCCTAGGCTGGCAGATGAGGAAGCTGAACTGTGGGTCTAAGATGGCGGCCCGGACTGTCAGCGCTCACGGGTTGAGCTGGAGTCATAGGCCACGGGGGTCGTCCCCCTTCGGGTCCTGACATGGCCAGCTGGATGGCACTGGCCCTTGAGTCAAATGGGACAGGAGAGAAGCACGTGGTTCTGAGTAAAGATGACGCAGGGGGGTGAGGGCTCCTGCCCACAGCTGACTCACTGTGTTTGAGTCACACAGATGGGCCCTGGCCCCACCAGTGGGACCTCATAAACGCATTGCAGTGACTAATAAAAGCCCAGGCCTGTGTGGGCACGCAGGCTACTACTGATGACGCCGCTCACCTGGAGCCCTGTGACTGGCGGCGTGATGTCTACCATCCTTGGCTGCCCCTTAGGGGTCAGGCCATAGAACGCGCGCCCAAACCAGAGCGGGACCCAGGGTGGAAGAAGACCGATCACTCCTAGGGGACAGGTACCTTTCAAACAGCTCGAGGTTCCTGGGAGAAGGCCACAGCTCCTGGAAACTGGCACAGGCCCACACGCTGGCGTGGTTGTCGACCAGGTACTTCAGGCGGGAGTGCACCTGCCGGGCAGCAGAAGCCAGGTGGTGGGGTGCCGAGAGCCACCTCCAGGACCCACCCCGAGAAGCTCTTGGAGACGAGATGTAGAAGCTGCCTCCCCCAGGGTCCCCATCTCCCTCCTGACCCCAAACAGTGAAGGATCCCGGACTATGTATGAAAGTAATGGTTGCTTTGAGCCTGGGAACGAGGTTCTCTGCAACTCTCAAGTGAGGCAGAGGGAGGGGACAAGGACCTAAGGAGAGGGAGAGGACACCTCTGCCAAGGCACACGCCTGTGAGGGGCGGACTCCAATGCAGGCAGGTGTCGTGTGGGCTCCTCGGCCTGGGCTCTGGCTCGAGCGAGTGTGGCCCGCAGCCTACAGGTCACAGGAGCTGACAGAAAGCAGCTCTGGGCGCAGCGCGGAGCCGTCTGCCCTGGGCAGAGGCAGGAAGGGCGCAGGTCGGGGCGTGAGGACAGGTGAGCATTTTAGGCTGTGGCCCTCCCCCTGCAGAAACACAGGAGCCGGTGGGCTCCATCCGCCGTCACGTGAACGCGGTGAAGGTGGGTCAGGCAGTCAGGGACACGGGGTTTTGTCTGAGTCTTCCTGTGAATTCACAGTCTGACCTTGGCTAAGTCACTCAAGGAACCCTGGTGGCACAATGAAGCACGCAGCTGCTGATTGAACGGGGGGTGGCGCGATGCTCGGGAGGAGAGAGCGGGTGGGCTGCTCCCTGAAAGACGGCAGCTCGGGAACGCTTACGGGGCGGTTCTACTGTCACACGGGGTCACCGTGAGTCAGAACTGATGCGATGGCACCCGGCAACAAGTCACTCACAGTGAGTGACTTCGACACCATGGCTCCAATAGCTACAAGGCAATGATGGGGTCCCTTCCAGGGCTGCATGCCTCGGGGCTTGTCCTCAAGGGCTTATCTGTATTCTTTTTGATACGATTTTATTTTTTTAAGGGATACAAAGTCACCGCCATCGGAGGGTGCTTTGTGAACTGAATCAGGCCTTGCAGCGAAGCTTATCACGCCACCATTATGCCTTCCCGCCACGGGGATCCTTCGAGCAACTATTCACGATTCAAGCCCGTGCCTCTGCCCTCCTTCTGCGCCCGAGCTTTGACCTGACGCCGAGCAGCGTGAGGCCGCAGCAGCCCGGGGCGCGGCGCCGGGCCCACTCACAGCTCGGACGGCGAGGACGTCCCCCACAGGAAGCCACTTCAGAATCTGAAAGAGCACATCTTCAGGGAGGTTCAAGATGGTCAGCTTTCGGGGTCGCTTTCTGATCCTCCGCCTCGTGGGGTAACAGAAGCACTTGGCACACCGACAGTGGACCACTGTGGAGAAACGAAAGGCTCAAGCAGATTGTGTGGGCGGCGTGTTGGCACGGGATGAGGGTGACATGGAAGGCTCTGTCGGGGGGCCTGAGACGTTCCTGGCCTCCGTCACGCTCCGCCGGCATGGCGTCCGGCACAAAAACAGTGCCCCCCATCCCACTTTGGTGACGAGCGACTGGGGTCTTAAAAGTTTGCAAGCGGCCATCTAGATGCAACAACGGGTTTCTCCCCGTCCAGAGCAAAGAATGAAGAAAACCAAACACACGTGGAAACAATTACTCCAAGGCACTGAAGACCACGCGGACCTCAGCCTACATGACCACGAGACCAGAACTAGATGGTGCCCGCAATCACTGTCAATCACTGAGAAACAGCAGTGCAGGAGGTCCTGGACAGAGTGGGGGAACAACGTGGAACAAGACTCAGTCATAAAAAGGCCAGGTTTGCTGGTCTGAGAGAGCCTGGTGAGACCCCCGAGACTAGGGCCCCTAGTTACCCTTCGGGTCTGGAATGAACTCAGTCCTGTGTCTTCCAGCCACACAAGGGGAACATTAACACCAGGTAGATGCACTCCTTAGAACGATCAATCATGGGAGGACAGAAGGGCAGGGCGTGCATGGGGAGACAGCTGGGGGGAGGGCGGAAGCGCGTGAGGGAAGGACACAGGGAAGAGGTGACTACAGGGAGGAAGGGAGGCGGTTTAACGATGAGGAGGAAGTGGGAGGCGAGCTGTTGCACTGCAGGGATCGTGAGACAAAACGGGTGTGAGCTGCTGTGTGGAAAATGAATTTGGCCTGTAAACTTTCACCCAGATCACAATAAAAATTTAAAAAGGTCACTGTTCTCTGTCTTACAACAGAAAAACCATCATGTTTCCATTTCCAAGTACAGATTAAGTTAAGGAGTGGTGTTAACGAATTAGGGGAGGTATAATCATTTGCTCAAATATTCAACCAATGTTTTTTCTTTCATACTCTGCGTTGCCTTTTAGGGACGGTGAGTTCACTGTGAGTCGTGGAAGTTACAGAGGGACTCCTCTCCCACCCAGCAGGTCAGACACGTGCCTGGGACTTTCACACAACCAGCACTCTTCCCACTTCCCTCCCTTCTTGCCTTCTGGGCGCGATCCCTGGGCCTGGGCTGCCCTTTGGATCGATTGCCTGTGGCTGATGGTTCGACAAACCTTTATGGCAAGTGGCGGATCTCAGGTCACTGGGCTGGGGGGAGCTTTGTCCTCCAGAACCCAAGTGACAACTGGGAAGGGAGAAGCCAGCCAACACCGGTGAGTGTTCCTAGTGTTTTAGTCGGGGAAGCCCCTCGGACCCTCCTAACTGGACTTCTTGCTTCTATTTCCATAAGCATCACGTTTAATAAGTATCTGTGGACTCGGAGGGTCTGGTTTTTGCGTCCAGAACCGAGACTTTGGGCAGAAAGGCTGGGACCTGGAACCCGGGCCAGGCCTGCTGGGTCCACAGCCTGGTTCAGCTGCCCGCACTGAGTGTCTGTCAGGCTGAGTCTGTGTGTCCTTGGCTGGAAAGTGGGGAGATGATGGCTACTCACAAGCTGTTGGCGGGGGGGCCTCCCCACACAAAACGCAGACCCACAGGTGGTGTCATGCCCTGCTGCCCGCTTCCTGGAGGTGCAGCTACAACCTCCTAAGCGGAGGGCCTTAGCCCTCATTTCCCAGGAAGACAGAACCTCAAGATCCAGCCCTGCCACCTACAGACTTACCTGCTTCCTCCCATCCCTCCGTCCAGTCCCGGAAGGAAGAGGCTGGGTGTCCCGTCCGGGGGATCCCTCCAGCTGGGCCGGCACTTTGCTCCAGCACCTGCCCCCCCATTGTCGCTAAGAGGCTGCCTTCCCAACCCGAAGCTGATATGCCGCTCCCTCCCCGGGACATCCAAGCTCCCCTGGAAGGCGCGCAGGCCTGGAGTAAGGCTGAGCCCCGGGCTGCACGGCCCTCTGCACGCCCCGCACTCGCTCACAGCCCGGAAGCCTCGCAGCGCAGCCGCCGAGG